AAGTTTCTAACAGTAGTGCCTTGTCACAAAAGCATATTTTTCACCATATTTATTCGATGTGTATGCTGCACCAATAATCCCAGAAGCTGGACAATATGACTAAGAACACAGAGTCAAGATTGGAGGAAGACTTGTTAATTACTGCGATAGGCAGTTGACATAGCCTTGCTATGAAAGGGAAGAGGAACTGAAGCACTGACTGATGAAAATCAATAGAAAGAAAACTGAGATGTTCACAGTCAGACCAATAAACATGATGAATGAAAGAAAACATTAAAGTTGTGACAAAGCTTTCCTTTTCCTTTGGATCCACAACTAGTGCTCATGGAAACATCGGTGAAGACATCAAACAACCTATCTCATCGGACAAATCTGCAAAATCTCTCAAGCGTCAAAAAGCAAAATGTCACTTTGAGGACTAAGGTATGCTTAATGCAACCCATATTTTCAAACGTCTCAGACGCATGTAAAAACTGGATAATGGATAGGGGAGACCAAGGGAGACCATGCCTTTGAATTATGATGTTGGCAAAGAATATTGAACATAGCACGGACTGCCAGAAGAGCTAACAAACCTGTCTCAAAAGGAGAGCAGCCAGAGTGTTCCTTAGGCGTGTGGATGGTGAGACACCATCTCCCATTCTTTGGACATGCTTTCAGGAGAGACCAATCTTTGGTAAAGTTGATGGGTCGGCGAAAAAGAGAAGGACCTTCCACGACTGACAGACACAGTGGCCGCAACAAGGTGCTCAAACAATGGAAGGTGGCATGGCCCAGGGTCGTCAATATTTTGTTCTGTTGTCCTAGGACTCTCAGTGAGTCAGAACCCACCCGATGGCACCTGACGTCAACAGGAAACGTAGTATGCTATGCTTTCCACAGATGGTATCTATTGACCCTTCCAACAACCAGGCAAGACAGGCATGATTCTTCCCATCTCTGCCTTTGGAAAGACAAATGCTCAGAGAAGTTGTGCCTAATGAATGCAACACAACTTTGAGTCCAGAGTTTGTTTTGTTTTACCATAGGCAGAAAGGTCATTTCCGGGGCATGTCTACGGTCACAAGTCCAGTGGAATTATTTCAGATGCCAAAAAACCTTCAACAAAGAACGGTCTGTTGCTGCAGTGACGCCCGCAGCCAGGAGGGCTTTTTTCCTGGCCGTGAGGAACAATGGCGGTCTAGCAGGACGCTTATCGACAGTGCTGGAACTTCATTTCCCAGCGAGCCCGCGTCCGCCGCAGAGCATGACGGGTACTTAGTTCAACCACTCGTCTCCGCTGGAGCGGAGGGCCTCGTCATGGTATGACGTCAGGAAGCTCGGCATCCTGGGAGATGTAGTCCAGCGTGGCTTCAGATGCCCCCTTGGTTGAATGGGACCGGCGCCGACTACGAACTACAGCTCGGCGACTGGCCGCGTCGCTGCCGGCGGCGGGGCCCGCGGAGAGCTGCGCGCCGGTGGACGGCGGTGCTCGGTGCCGCGGCGGTGGGAAGCGACCTAGGCGGGTGCCCGCTCGCGCTCGCTGCCCGGCCCCACCATGCACCCGGCCTTGGCCGTGGGCCTGGTGTTCGCAGGCTGCTGCAGCAACGTGATCTTCCTGGAGCTGCTGGTCCGGTGAGTGGCACCCTGGGATGGCGCCTCCGGGGGGCATCAGCGAGTGACCACCTGGGGCGGTAACCGGGTTCACCCCCTCCAGTACCCCAGACCACGCAGCACCCTGGGTCACGTTTAGCGTCGCGTGCTTAATCGTCGACGGGGTCACCATGAGTCACGTCGACCTGGTAACTGAGTTTTTCTTTTTTTTTAACATTTTACTGGGGGTTCGTACAACTCTTATCACAATCCATCCATCCAACCATCCATTGTGTCCAGCACATTTGCACATTTGTTGCCCTCATCATTCTCAAAGCATTTGCTTTGTTCTTGAGACCTTGGTATCTGCTCCTCATTGCTTCAGTGTATGAATTTCTCCTGCACATGTGTACTAACAACACAGTCGTCCTGTAAACTCTTTCTATTTTGAATGGCACAGAGTGGAAGCCCTCTTGTATTTCTGTTTTTTTCTGACTTGATGACTGCTTCGTTCTAAAAAATAAGTTATTGATACAGATTCACAATTACTAGGGACCACAACATTGGGGTTTTAGCTAAAGCTCCAAAAGTGTGGCCCTCACGTACTGGCCACCGTGAGAGTAACCACTGTGCAGATGAACCCCCTGCCTTTATCATTGGCTAATAATGACAGCTCCGACCCCAGCCCAGCAGGAGGTTCAACAAAGTCAGTGAACCGAGTTTTAACCTCTTGGGCCAGGGCATCAGCAGGGTACGCGGGAGCTATTAAGCTGTAGTAAACAGTCTAACGCGGAACGACTTACTGCAGCTTGGTAAATACACAGAAGGAAGTTCCTGCTTACCTTGCTGAGTCTGCCCTCGCTGTCCGGGAGGGTCCATTTGCAGGGGCTTTCATTCTGCACCTGTGAACCTGTTCACCACAAACTAGTAAGTAAGCACAAGTCACCTTGTGCTTACCTTCCACATTGGGTAATCAGGCACACAGCTTGTGGGTCTACGCATAGATGTAAGCCGGGCTGACGGAAAATGTTTGTTGTTGTAGGGAACCGTAAACTGACACACGGTCTGTTGTCTCAGCCATGTGGACTCCTAGTGACCCTCGAGGACAGGGGAGAACTGCCGGTGGGTTTACGAGACTAACTATTTATGGGAGCAGAAAACCCATTTTTCTGCCGAGGAGCAGCTGATGGTTTCCAACTGATGACCCTACAGATCCTAGCCCAATGAGTAACCACTAAGCCGCCAGGGCTCCTGTCACTAACTGTAAGGGCTGTTTTAGGGACCCGTTTCTGTTGGTACAAACGCTCCACAGCAGTTCTGTGGGCAGTCATTTGGGCGTCCGCTCCTCTGACAGTGTCACCCGGTGCTGTCTTTAGCCCCCATCCCCCCTAGTGACACTACTGTGCACACCTTCTGCCACCCCACCTGGCAGCTCCTCACCCCCCGACCCCCCATCCCTGGGAGGGAAACACCAGGGCACTGGAGCTCAGAGGCACTGGAACTTTGAGAGGTTTCGTCGGACTGGCGCAGTGTCAGCAGGTAGTTATGGGGTGGGGTGGGGTGGGGGCGTGCTGCCTAGGCTCCCACCCAAATCTCTCCCTTCCCGCTCCAGTTCTCAGTGCCTGCTGATGCAAAACACGCGGACTTAGAAGGCAGTGTGCTCTCTGCAGTTTATTTGTATTAGGGCGCACCACCTAGCATTGGCTGTGTTGACAGATCGGCGCGCTCTGCCCAAACATACATCTCAGGGAGTCCAGTGGCCTTTTACTTAGGGAGCAGGTGGGACAGGTGCCCTGCGTCAGCACCTACAGCCGTAAAAGAGGTCAGCTGGTCTTTAGCTTGAAAAGCATGCGTTTTTAAAATGTAACTTTGGGCGTTGGGACACACTCCCAGAGGGAAAGGTGGTTGGCCTTCTTGAGGGAGCACGTGAGAATGTTGCGTGGGGATGTGCACTCTTTGTGGTTAAAAGCTGCTGCAGAGCAGACAGCAGGTTGGCACGGGACAGGCCCAGGACGAGAGCTCAGAACGACACAGTCCTGGCTCTGTGATCTGCTGGCTCTCTGATGTGTTCAAGCCCTTCACCTGTTGGGCAAGCCATCTCAGTTGTGGGACTCTCTGGCACTGTAATGCCGGGCAGCATCTCCGTTGACAGTGAGAACAGCCTTGGGCAGAAGACGGCCCGGATCACACTCTCTGTCTTCCTGAATCACACTCTCTGTCTTCCTGAATCACACTCTCTGTCTTCCTGAATCACACTCTCTGTCTTCCTGAAAGCGAAACGGGACCTAGAGAAGCCGCAAGGCCTTTCCAGACGGCATACCTGTTAAGTGCCAGAGCCAGGCTAGAAGTCGAGAAGTCTACATTCCTAGTCCAGTACCTTTTCAACCTCCCTGTGATTTTTGAGCCCTGACTGCCCAGTGGGTTATGAATTGGCTGCTACCCAGGTCAGAAGTTCAAAACCACCAGGCACTCCTTTGGAGAACGATAAGGCTTTCAACTCCCATAAAGAGTTACCAAAAACTCACCGCCATCCATCCAGCCCATTCTGATTCGTGGTGACCCTTTAGGACAGGGTAGAACTGCCGCTGTGGGTTTCTGTAACTCTTCACTGGAGTTGAAAGCCTCGTCGTTCCTCCACGAACGGGCTCGTGGTTTCGAACTGTGAACCTCATGCTTACACCCCAGCGGGTAACACACTATGCCACCAAGGTTCATGAAGAGTCACTGTCTCAGAAACCCCTAGGAGCAGGTCTGCCCTGTCTGTCACTGTGAGTTGGAATCGGCTTGATGGCAGTGAGTTTGGGTTGTGGGGGTGGGTGGGGGTGGGGGTATTTTTGAACTTCAGGGGTACATCGGTATGGGAACTCCATTCTGCAGGTAGTAACTGCCAGACAGGAATTCATCTTGACCCCAGGCATTAAGCCCCCCCTGAGCAATAGCCTCCTTCCAGCTAGCTCTGTGGGGTTACTTTGGGCTCTCGCGGAGCTTGAGACTTTGATTTGCAGAAAGCGCTGATAGAGCTTCCTCACTCTGGGGTGTAGGTGGTGAGGGGTATGACGGGGGTGGGAGAGGTGGGATGGAGTCTATCAGCTGTAAATCATCTCAAAGGCAAGTCACCTTGGAAGTTGGTTTGAAAAGTTAAGTAAAACAAAGATCTGCACAGGCCAGCCATGGAAACGAAGGTCAGGGGATTCTAGTGTGACATTTGTGTTAAATACACGTCCATTTCACACGAATCTGGCTGAGGATAGTGTGACAGAATACGCCAGCAGTAGGCGTCCCCTCTAGGGAGTTGTGAGTCCTGGGCAAAATCACGTGGTCTCCTTAAGGCCACTGTTACAACGACAGAAGTGGGCAGAGAAGCTGGTGGTGACCAGGCCCTGAAGGGTTAGTTGAGACACTTGAGTGACACGGTGGGGGTGAGGGGCAGTCGGAGTCACCCCCTGCCCTTCTCCCTGACTGTCTTGGTGACCCTGTGGGTGTACCTAGCTTTGTGAGATCCAGTGTGGCTCACTCGAACTCTTAACTGAGCAAGGGTTTATGTGCAGTGCTAAACACATACACACACACACTCACACTCACACACAGAGACAAACAAGCCTTCTTGGCCACTCCCTGTGTTGCCGGCAGGGCTGCAGCCACAGTAATTTCAAGGCAGAGGTTCCTCTTGGATGCAGACTGCCAGGCCTTTCTTCCAAGGTGCCCATGGGTGCTTTTGAATCTCCAACCTTTTGGTTAGTAGCTGAGCACTGCCACCACCCGAGGACCTTCGAGCATGAGCACTTTGGATGCTCTGTGAATAAGTCGGCACCACTCCTGACCCATCTGGACCTTCCCAGGCGGCACGGGGTTTTTATAAAGTGGGGCAGAGGTACATTTGCTAATCCGAATGCCCGCCCCCACCCCCACCCCCACAACCTGCAACAGCCTTCTCCCGAAGCCCCATTCTCTTCTCCGATCTCAACTCGGTGAGATAAGAGCTGGTTGGGCCAGCTCTTTCTGCATGTGACCTTCTACGAATTTGGGACTGCATCCAGGCACGTGGGGACATTGGGACTTCACAGTGGACAGCGCGTATACAGTTTTACAGACGGTGCTTTTTAATGGGCTTCCCAAGAAGCAAAGTGTGCCCCATACATGGCAAATAACCCAGCAATCCAAACCCACTGCCGTCAAACCAATTATGACCCCCAGTGACCCTGTAGGACAGGGTGGAACTGCCCCTGTGGGCTTCCAGGACACACTTCGTGGGAACAGAAAACTGCTCACCGTGAGGTTAGCCGCCCATTAAGTCCACAGCAACCATCCAGCCCGGGCCACCAGGGATCTGTGGGGACCGCTAGGCGGCCCTCGGGAAGAGGGTGGTGGTTTTACACGTTGCCTCCAAGTTGCCCGACACCTTTAGCTTTCTT